TGGTTGTTCCTGTGGTGCAGGTTGCTGTTGGGGATGTGGGTAACCCCTTTGAATTTGTCCAACGAAAGGACTTGCGAAAGGTGCTGGAACTGGTGTTGTGTCTCTTCCATTTGTAGGAAAACCCTCTAACCCCCCGGGTATAAATTCGAATAAGGGATTAGTGAACCCCCTTGTGCCAGGTATGGCTTCGAACATGGGATTCGGAACCATTCTTATGCCATTTCCTTATACTGGGCCAGTTCCACCAAATTGCATGGCTTCACTATTAAGTACTAAGACATTTTGACCTACAACGGGCCTTGGAACAGGTTCGTACCAAGACTGAGGTGATGGTCTTTCATGGTTCTGATTACTAGTTTGTCTATTAGAATGTCCATTAACTTGCATAGGCTGTTTATCTCTAGCCAATCTTTGCTGAGGGACATTTAAAATTTCCCCCATGTGTCTTGCGTTTGTTAGTTGGTGGTTATTCATTCGATCCAAAAAGAATGTTGCCCACCTTTCCATTGTGTTCATTAATTGCTGTCCCATTGCATCTATTAAGCCACCCCATGGATTCACTAGCTGAGTAGATGGGACAGTGGATGGTCCAATTCCTTGGTCTCGTCCAACATTACGAACAAATTGAATTTGTTCTGAAGTACTGGTCTGTTCGACCATAGGTTCCGATAAAATAGGAGTTTCCACAGGATGTGTTATCACATTATTCTCTGGATTAGGTATCTCTACCTCTCCTTCCACGCCTTCTTCCAAGCGTTCATTTTCTCCTTGTCTCCTATGTTTAGCCATTTTAAATGTAGCCCCACTGGACGTGCCAAAAATATATGTTGGCTTTTTAGCTTTCGAAGGTTATTATTGTGATTGCGAGCGTGCTAGCAAGGATCAATTTAGTCCTTACAAAAATTTAATTGCCAACTAATTATCAGACGACTGTGTTTTAGTTCTCTCTTCCTCAATGAAAATGACTTTTACTGGTGGCTTGATTTAGGAGAATTTAAACAGAATACCAATCAAATAAAGAAAATCTGAAACATTTCACTAGAATAAAAAACTTACAATGATTCGAAGCGACAACCTATTTGAAACTACTCCTATGAATGAAAATGCAATGCAGAATTTGAAGTACTGGAATGTAAAGAACAGGGTATGTAAAAGTAAAGTAGAATAAGACTGGTTTTTTAGATCTGAGTCCGGGGGCTTTTTCCAGGGCCTTCTCTGCTATTTATACTGCTCAAAGATGACAGTCGAACTGTATTTCCAACCGTCGAACTGCTCCCCCATGATCGCTGATTATGTAGCCTCAAGATTAGCTCCACTATGCCATCATTTGCAGTTAAGCTTCCCTCCTAAATTTGAATTTAAATAAGAATAACCACTGATGCCACATCACCTTACATTTCTTTGTTGATCCACTGCTACTCAGATCTCATGACAACCAATATCAACTGCCACGTGTACGATCAGTATTGAAGACTTGAATGGTCTTCCCATATTACCCTTACTTTGCCACGCGTCAAATTGTAACTGGCTTGTACAAAATATGCAGCCAACAACAAGACATCGGTTTTGGCGGTGTCTTCAATGGTGGGTAAGAAGGAGAGAACAAGAGTTATAGTTTCTTCGCTGGGGAGAGCTGTGGCTTCGTCTTTTTGCCATGCTTTTCTGCTCTGCTTTACTTTATTGTTCAAACAACAACAACAAAAAAATAGGGGTAATAGGGTTTATTTATTTTAGAGGAGAACACGAATAGCTTAACCACCTTTGCAAATAACGGAGAACAACATCCAATGGGGGTACTTATGTGTAGGTCCTAATAAATGGACTTATTGTCTAATAGGTCTTATGGAAAAAAATTGTCATAAAAAAGTCGCTAATTTTAAGTTTTAGAGACAATTTATAAAAATCATGACAAAAAAAATCGTTAATTGTCAATTTTTAGTGACGTATGTAAAAAATTATCACAAAAAAATTATTTTTAACGACAATTTTATCAAGACTTATTTTCAATAGGACTTGATGGAAATTAACTCCAACTATGAGGAGCTATTGGTAGTTTACCCTTATTATTATTATATACTTTTTGGGTAAATTAGGCTTTCCACCTTGCACTTTACAAATTTAAAATTGATTAAATCTTTACTTTAATCAATTATGTCATAAATGAAATTGTATGGATTAATAATTTTATCTATTAAAAATGTGACAAAGCGTGATGTTCAATTATGTCATAAATGAAATTGAATGGATTAATAATTTTCTCTATTGAAAATGCAGTCCCGCTGCATACCCCCAGTGGGGGTCGCGCCCCCAGTGACGTGGCGCGCCCCCACTAGCTGAAAACTCAAAAAAAAAAAAAAAAAAAAAAATTTTTTTTGGGGCCAATCTCGGAGTGACACCTCACTGGGAGTCGACCCCCAGTGGGGGTAGGAAGCATTTTTGATTGAAAATGTGACAAAGCGTGATGTTAAACTGATATTTTGTTGCAGTTTGTTCAGTTTTTATTTGATTGTTGAGTTTGGATTATTTTGATCTATTTTTTTTATTGTAAGCTTTGTTAAATATTTAAATAAATTTTACGTCAAATATAAAAATTAAAATAAAAAATTGGGTACATATTCTATTGATAAAAACAGAAAAAGAAAAAGTTAAATGTACAAAAGCCTTGTATTGGGAGTTCGCTTTGAGTCCCAAAATTGTTAGAGTTGGCCCTGATGGCAACGGTGTTGGTGAGGTAGAGGGATACGTAGTGGTGATAGTATAGTGACATTTGTAAGACATTTGTTTAAAAATATTTTTCACCTTTCAAAAGTGAAAAAACATTTTCACCAAAAGTTTTCTATTGATTTTTGCTTTTAATTATATCAAATGCTAAAAAATTTGAAACAATATTTTTCCAAAATATTTTATGTCCAAAGCGTAAGTCATTACTCAGTGCAGTATAAACCGGCTATTTCAATATGGTGTCAATGATAAATGTAAATCGTTTCACTCTTCATGATCTAATGGTCTAAAATAGGGGTGCATACAAGGTTTTAAAAAGCGGTCGCAATCGTTACGTAATACCGTTACGTAAAGGTTGTGGTAATTATCGCTACCCGTTACGGCCGCTTTTGCGGTGTGATTGAGATTCACAGGTATGTTGGCTGTAACGGTTGCCGTAGCGGTCGTAACAGTGCTATAACGGCCATAACGGCTTGTTACGCACCGTTACGTAACGATTTCGAACTACTTCGTTCTAAAAATAAAAACAAAAAACAAAAAAAAAACCTAAAAATGGGGGAAGAGGGATAGAGACAGAAGAGGGAAGAGGAAGAGGGAAGCTGGAGGAGTAAGAGATAGAGAGAGGGAAGAGGGAAGAGGGAAGAGGGAAGATGAAAAACATATTATTGATTTGTTGAAGCTATAAGACCTATACTATTCTATTCAGCTGCTATCACTCAATCATTTTGATTTTGTATATCTATCTATCTAATAATAATAATAATAATAATAATAATAATAATAATAATAATAATAATAATAATAATAATATAATAATAAGTGTGGTCATTATCTATTTGGCTTGATTAAAATATATATATATATATATATATTTAGGCTCTTATTTCTTCGCTTACTTTTGTCATTATTTATCTTATATATAATAGTTAGTGATTGATTTTTTTTATTTTTTATTTTATAAAATATCTAAAAAACATAACACCGATAATTATATATTAATACATATTTTATAAATGTCAATTTTTTTGACTAGTTTATTTATTTACAGGTTATCCAAAAAGAGAATGAATATTCAAGTGATCCAAATCCAAAAAAAAAATAAAAAAAATAAAAAATTCTTTGTAATTTATTTTTTAATTTTTATATGATTACATTAGTATGTATAATTTATTTTTTTAAAACTATTGAAATTAAAATTTGCATATGCTCCCACAAGTATAATAATTAAAAAAAAATAATATATCTAAGTCCAATAAAATTTTTTTTTGCCACAAGTGTAATGTGGATTTATGACATATAAAGTCATTAATTATTAAAATAAAATGTAAAAAACTTAGTTTTTAATGATTTAAAAATATGAAATATATTGGACCATACTTAAAAATTTACAAAAATTGATCAATATTTATTTTAAAACTCAATAAATATAATTATGGAAAAAAAAAATATGTGTATCGGTAAGTTTTTTTCAAATTGTGCAAAAAATAAAAAAAATTCATGGTTTCGGTTACCGCAACTGTTACGTTACAGCCTTTACACTCCGCAACCGCAACCATACCACCACCACCGTTACGGCGACCGCAACCGCTTTTCAAAACTTGGTTGTATAGGATAATGCCCTTTTGTTTTTGGGGGTGGGGGGAATCCTTAGACGGAACTTGAATGCTTGCTGCAATAATAAATCTTCAATTATGTCATTACTCAATGCAATATAAACCGGCTATTCCAAAATGGTGTCAATGATAAATGTAAATCGTTTCACTCTTCATGATCTAATGGTCTAAAATAGGGGTGGATATGATAATGCCCTTTTTGTTTTGTTTTGTTTTTTATTTTTTTTTGAGTGGGGGAAGAGATCCTTAGATGGAACTTGAATGCTTGCTGCAATAATAAATCTTCAACATTTTCTTCCTCAGTGAGAACTGATCAGAGAGTTAGGTATACAATTTGTGCAAGTAACATTTTTATTGATTATTAGACATCATAGTTGCACTTAGTCAAATTTATTTATTTATTTGAGTCAATTGAGAGGAATGCCTGAAAGTGACTTTTAAATGAAGCAATTTGAGGTTGAATCTAATAAATTTATATACAGATTAAACTATTAAAGCTATACTGTTTCCATCAATATAAAAATCTCAAATCCATTCTTACATATATCTAAATCTAGAATACTAGATTGAATTGAACACCATACTCTCGAAATTAATAATGACAAATCCATTCATTTCAAATCTAAAATTCCAAATGCAAGCCAAGTAAATTTAGAAAAGGGAAACCCTTAAACAACTATATCCAATAAACTACTGCTCAAACATGACAAAGTTGCTAAAGTTCTATCTTCTATTAACAAAATATTATCCAATAAAACATAGCTTGCTTCAAAAGATAAACATAACAAAATAACAATCAAAGGGAAAAAAAAAAAAAACACCATGTTTCACTGAGAAAGTGAATTACTTGAGTTGTCCATTTCACTTATTGAACATAACTCTGCATCCGGAGAGGATCTTGGAAAACTAAAAACTTTTGAGCTGCTTGGAAAAGTTCCTTACAGTATACCCTTAGTATCGATAACCATCTTTTGCAGCACCCTTGCATTCTTCAGCAGAAATTGTATAAAAGAGCAGTGGAAGTCATAGTAATACCATCTTAAACCAGCAAACTTAACTATTTTGAGATGATGCATCATCAAACACTTAAAAACTCCTATTTTGAGATGTCCAGTAGTTGCCCCCGTCAAAATCGAAAAGGTGGGTGAGATTGTACAAAAAATACTGCAGATGAAGAATCCATTAGGCTAAAATCTATGCATAAGTTCAAGAGCTTGAAATCAACTTTTGGCAAAGAATGACTCCTTATGGTCACAGAAATGATTAAAAATTCTACTTCACATGTATTTATAAGAATGTTTTAAAGAAAAATGGCCATATAAAATATTTAATCATAAAAAATGGGGAATTTTTTTCAATATAATCACGTACAATCTAAAGAAACGGTTCAGTAATCCTCAAAAATTCTAGTCAGTAGTTATCAATAAGCACTAAAATTGATTAACATTACTAAAATACATAAAGATAAATTCAAAGCCAGTCTTTTCTAGGGTCTTTCCATTTCTTGAAGACAATGAATATGAAAAAAACATACCTCATTAAGGCTGAAAAGGGACATGGTTATGACTAATTTCACTAGTTGAGCAGGGCTTTCTAAGATCCTTGCTATTCCAGGGAGGGCCGATTTCTGAATGTATGTATCTAGTGTCCAACTTTCATATTTCAACTGTGGAGAATGCACACCTTTTATTTCCATAGTTGACAGCACCTTTGCCATGGGAAACAAGATGCAAAACAAAAAACGAAAAAACAAAAGGCGCAACCAATTAGAAGATTCAAGAAGATAATCTGCTAAAAGATTGTCTGAGAGACCCAACAATAAAAATATTGCGCATTAAAAAATAAACAATGTGAAATTTCTGCACTAGTGTAATTTTCAAACAATGTATCACTCCTTACATTGGGACTAAAGTAGATCAGATTACTAATAATAGTACCGAAGAATGGACTTTGGCAAATAAGTATCATTCAACAAAAAAAAAAAAAAATCATTCAGCAAAAAAAAAAAAAAAAAAGAACCCTATTGCAACAATATTGATGCATTGAATGACAAAGTTAATTAAGTCTTGAAATACTTAACAAATGATTCTAGACACAGAAATGGTATAATTCCGTAGGAAGAGTCAACAAAAATTAGTTAAAAATATGTAAGCTTTAAACTGCACAAGAAAGGATTGTAGAAAGACAAACCTGTAAAGCCCAAGAACCTTGTTAGAATGGTTGAAAGAAATATGGAAAACGTATATCTGTATTATATTGAAAATGAATAGAATATAATAGGAGAACCTGTATTTATAGATACAAACTTAGATAAGTATAGAAGGAGATAGAGATAGAGAGAGATAGAGATAAACTATATCTACAATACAAGGAGATGGAATATAAATCTATAAAGCTAAATATAATATATACATTAACAGCCTCCCTCAAACTCAAGGTGGGTAAGCATCAACCAACTTGAGTTTGGAAACTAGATCACTGAAACGACTAAAAGGATGAGCCTTGGTGAAAATATTAGCAGGTTGATCAGTAAAAGAAATAAGGAGAAGATGAACAGTGCCACGTGTAATATGCTATTGAATGAAATGACAATCAATCTCAATATGTTTGGTGCGATCATGGAAGACATCATTGTGAGCAATCTGAATGGCACCCTGTGTCACGACCCAAACCCGGCCCTATGGGTTTAGCACCGTAACCGGCCAGTAATCCGAGATTACCGAAGGCCTGCTTAACAGTAATGCAGTAAAACAGAGTACAGGGCCTGGCGGAAGCCAATACAGTAAATAAATAATGTCCATTGAGCTGTGACAGTCCAGTGCCACGTGTAACATGCTATTGAATGAAATGACAATCAATCTCAATATGTTTGGTGCGATCATGGAAGACATCATTGTGAGCAATCTGAATGGCACCCTGATTGTTAGAATAGAGAGAGGTGGCACTAGGGGAAGAAACACCCATATTAGCAACGAGCCAGCGAAGCCATAAAAGTTCCTGAGTAGTGTCAGCAAGAGCGCGGTATTCAGCTTCAGTACTAGAGCGAGTAGTGAGGGATTGTTTCTTGCTGTGCCAAGTAAGAAAAGAATCTCCTAAGAAGAAACAGAAGGTCGTGGTAGAGCATCGATCAGTAGGATCTTCAGCCTAATCAGCATCAGAAAAGACACGAAGCTCGAGAGAAGAGTGAGCAAAGTAGTGGAGTCCATGGAGCATAGTACCTTTAAGGTAACGAAGTATGCGAAGTAGAGCAGTGTAATGCGGGGTACGGGGAGCCAACATGTACTGACTAACAAGATGGAAAGCATAGGCAATGTCAAGATAACCTAAAGGCTGGATCTAAAGGCTCAGAAAATTCCTCGAAGGCAGCAGCAGCAGTGCGATGAGCAGGCAGAGATCTAGATTGATTCCCGGGACATTGTGAACAACCTCGTGAGAAAGTTTCACGAGTAGTTGATGAGTGGTCTAGATTGCACAAACAATCTTGCTGCAGATGACCAGGACTAATCTTGTTGCAGTACCGACAGGATCTAACTGGCCAATAAAGTAGCAGATGAGTAGAAGGAAGGCCCCGATTCTGACAATAATTGCAAGTTGTGGGCCACTAGGTGGTTGGTGCAGAGAAACTCAGTGATTGGGAAGTGGCAAGAACTGTATCTACATGATGAGTCTTCAGAGGGCCAAGACGAGTCTCCTCAGATAATAACTCAGAAATTGCCTGCTCAAGAGTGGGCAATAGAGTGCGATGAAATAGAGATGCACGCACAGGCTTAAACTGGGTAGTGAGAGCCATGAGAAACTGAACCAATCGTTGGTGATTACGATACTGAGTGAATAAAGTAGCATCTTCAATATGAGGCCAGGCAGGTTCGTAAAGAGCGAGCTGGTCCCAGATAGAATATATCTAAGAGAGGAAATCATTAACAAACTAACCAGGCTCTTGATGTAGATGATGAAGTTGACTTTGAAGTTGTTACTGATGAGCAAGACCAGTAGTCTGATGACGTTCTGTCAAAAAATCCCAAATGTCTTTGGCAGGAGCAGTCATGGAGTCAAGTTGAAAATGACCAAATTGTAAACTAATAGCGGTAACAGAAGTATTCCGAAGCCAAGTGATGATTTGGTAATTCTTACTGTCCCAGTCTTTTAAACGGTCTGCATATGTGGCAATTGTTTCATGAACCTCTTTCATGGTTGAACTACATCCCCAATGATAATGCGCCAAAGTTTCTTCCCTTTCAGAAAATCGGACATGGCTTGGGCCCATAACATATAGTTGGAGCTGTCAAGGATAACAGAGATTGGATGGGAAGCATCATGACGATCCATAACAGTGATTTGGTGATGTAAAATAGAGAAAAACAGTGCTATAGGAGGAAAAATCGGCAAAATAGAGTGTACTAGTGAGTCTGGAAGGTCGAAAATAGCTAGGAAAGAGGTCTGGTGTGCAAAGATGACGTCAACAAGGGCTGGATGACTTCAGCAAGTGCGCGGTTCGTGTTAACAGGAGGGTGCGTGGCGCACGATAGTAGCAGAGGCGTCAGCAGATGCATGGTGCACGTTAGCAGGAGGATATGCGGCACATGATAGTAGCAAGCGTGCAGCGTACTGTAGTGCTGACACGCTTAGGGCTGACGTCAACGATGACAGAAACAGAGGGACTCGCGCGTGACAGATGCGTGGAGTGTGATCGTCGGGCAATCAGCATGTGGTAGCGCATGTAGATATTGGTGGCATTGTGAATGACGTGTCGAGCAATAAGTGGGGCGTGAGAGCGCATCTGAGCTTGTTTGGGAGCATGGTTAGTAGCTCTGGAATTGTTTGGAAGAGACTAATATTATGGTGTTGCAAGTTTGTGATTACGGCCACTGGAATCGTCTGAAAATAACGATGAAGTAGTGTTGGAACAAAAATAACAAAGTGTATGGGTGATGGAATGAATGCTGTAGTGCCACAGTGCACGGGACTAAGCACAAAAAAAAGGCTATAAGTGTAGAACTTAGAGCTCTGATATCATGTTAGAATGATTGAAAGAAATATGGAAAACGTGTATCTGTATTATATTGAAAATGAATATAGTACAATAGGAGAGCCTGTATTTATAGGCACAAACTTAGATAAGTATAGAAGGAGATAGAGATACAAGGACATAGAGATAGAGAGAGATAAAGATAATCTATATCTACAATACAAGGAGATAAAAAATAAATCTATAAAGCTAAGGGGTTGTTTGGAATGATCTAAATAAGTGCACTTTTCACTTTTTATAAAATATGGGCTGAATATAGGTTGAGTTTGAAATGCTGTGATAGAAAGGTGATGTAACTTAAATAAGATAGTATGACTTATAAATAAGATAACAACTTTTTGACTTTTTAATTTTTTTAAGTTATAACAAACAACACATAAATCTAATATATCCATTAACAAACCTAACCTAACGTGAGATTCTTCGCATGAACAAGGCTGTCAAGAAGTCCTCTTAATTAATCTTGGTGCCAATCATAATCATCATTATCATAGCTTGTAAAGTCACATTTGAGGGTTGCGTCAACCAAAGATGATGGGCTTGTTCGATTTGTTTTTAAGAAAATTTTTTAAAAAAAAATTCTTAACAAATAAATTTTTAAGAGTAATCAAATCAAACAAATTTTTTCAAAAAATCTCAAAATTTTATTTAGTTACTTACTTTCTAAAATCACTCACTCTTATAGATATCAAATTAATCACTTTTTTCAAAATTCTCTCTCTAAAATAATTTTTCAAAACTATTTCCAAAAAAAGACAAACCAAACAAATTTTTGTACTTTTTATCTCAAAAATTATTTTACAAACATAAACCAAACAAACCCTGTATGTCTGTCAGCTTACAATTCCTCCTCCCAAAAGAACCCAAAATTTCCAATGACTGAAGATTAGGAGCCCAAATTTCTAACCCAACGTTATTTTCATTACCCCAAAATCCTCTGAGGATCAATTTTTTCAAACTTGCTTTACTATCATGCAAACAGGTGATGCCAAAAAAGCCATACAATTCTGAATCACATCATCACTTAACATAATTGACAATTTCTTTAGCAATTTCTTTCCAGTCAACAACTCCTTTAGGCGTGACATTGCAGAAAGAAAATTGCAATTCTCTGAAGGATGAATTGGTAAACAAAAATTGTGGAAACATGAAACGATCCTCCTCATACAATTTGTCCACAGCATCGTTGAGTTGGAGTTGAAGCTCTTCCGTGGCGTTTCTTGTTGCAAAGTGAGTCCATAAGTTGAGATTGGAAGCGAAACGCGGCTCCTAATTGAAATCAACCACAAATTTCTTAAGCTTAGAACAGTTGCAGAGAACTAGGGTTTTGCCAACAAATGCTACAAAATCACAAAGTCTGTGGCTTTAATCATCAGCGTGCGAATAAGGAAGACAGAAAAGGAGTGATGGAAGGGAAGTCCAAAGGTATTACCATCTTCTGGACAAGACATGGGTTATGATGGCGTCTTCGATGGTGGGTAGTAAGAAGGAGAGAATATGGAGTAGTGAGTCAGGCAACATACTGATTCGATCGACAGTGGAGTAAGTGTATTCTTCATACACTGTTCTGGGCGGGTTTCGGGCCGCCCACGGGCCAATTTACATTCCTACAAATGTGAATTTTAAAATATGAATGTTCACATCATTAAATTGCTAATCGTTGAAAAATTATTTATAAGGGTATCAAAATTAAATATAAGGGCATAAGTGTCCAAGAAAATAGTGTAAATCAAGAAAATGGACTTTATGGAATAAAACTATACATACATGGGACTAAATGGGTTAAAAAATTCCTTCATGGACTTCTTGGGTTAAAACACTTCTAAATTGGACTTATCAATAAAAATCCATTGATTTAACGGTACAAATTTAGGCAAAAATTCAAATTTAAATTTGTTTTATTATTTTTTTATTTTTAAATAGTCAAATCTGAATTATTAGATTAACTTAAAGTACATCTCAATCGTTGCAGTTGCAAGTAGAGAAATAAGGAGAGAGTTTAAGGAGAGAATCTCAACTCAGTGGGCAGCGGATATTTTGATCTATTCAAATTGATTGAACCGAGCTGATTCGTCGTATTTTGGACGGATGTGTGATGATGAGCGGACGGTTACAGATTGATTTTTTTTTTTTTTAAATCTGCTTAGTTTTGGACAAATAACGGATTTGAAATTCTTTTGGCTGCAACCAAACCGCTAAACTGCAAACACTCCCAATAATTTGTAAGATTTTGTGTTTTTAATTTATTTAGATATTCTGTTTGTGTTTTTAATTGAAAAAGAGTTTAAATATTCTCTTGTGTTTTCAATTTATTTTCAATTTGGAAATCTTTTTATCAAATGACAAGTGTTAATATTTGATATTTTTGTGTGAAAAATATAAGGCTTAATTTTTTTATTTTTTAAAAAATCAAATTAAATAGTTTTTGAATAAAAAAAAATAATGAAATAATTTTGATAATGTATAGTTTTCTTATATGTATTTATTATTGGTATTTGATATTTTACTTGATAATATTTTAGTTATGCTGAGTTTGATTGTTATCCAAAAAAAAAATATTGATAAGTTATGGTATTATATTCAAAATTTATAAAAGTTTAAACCGTTAAACCGATTCGCATCCCTCTGTCAATCCGATAGACGGATGCAAATTATTTTTTTTTCCAATCTATCAATTCAGCAAACGAATGACGAATTAAAATTTTTTTGACCATAACCGAATCACGAACTACCCTAACTGCTGCTGCTGCTGCTGCTGCACGTTACTGCCTCAAACAAAAGAGGGTTCTGGAGGGAAGGAGGAGTGCACGAATCGGCTTCTCAAATTACACCCAACAGAATGGGTTTTCCTTTAATCCACGGTTGGTTGGACTCCCCTCCCTAACCAACCTAATAAATTCTCAATATATATATTTTTAATTTCAATATTAATTTTATAAATTACTAGTACATATCATAATCTGTTCATCTTCACTTCACGAATTTGTCTAATCGAGGAATCTTTTAAATTAGCAGTAATTACATCCAATCCAAGTGGATGTTGTAAAACAAAAATATATACATGGAAAATTTTATAATGGGACCCAATAATGAAAATATATATGTATTTAAAAAATTTCTTATTAATTTATAATTATTTTCAAATTGGTTGCTAATCTCAGGACTAATAATTATATGAATACTATTCCTATCTAATTCAGTCCAACCAAACAAACATGTTCCAAATACATTCTTCAGTCAAATATCTTACTATTCAGTCCAGACTTTAAAATTTACCAGATTTTAGTGTTAGTTATTAACCACCCCAAGCGGTTAGGATCAACATCAACTCCACACTACTTGCAAAAACAAATGCATAAAACAAATGCATGTTCAAAAACCAAGTGAAATTAGATAATCTTCATACATAGCATGCTCTAGCCATTTTGCCTTCTTCTTCACCCAATCTCTTATCTCCATCATCTCCTTTGTTGTTGTGTTCCTAAGTTGAGATTATTGAAGAATCTAAGCCTCTCATCATATTCTAGAGAATTCGATCTTCGAATTTTTCAACTCCTTTCTTGAACCCTCTCCTAGAATCTTCATACATAGCATGGTTTATAAGTGCGTCCCCTAGACAATTACATCCAATAATATGCTACTTCAAAAGACAAACAGAACAAAATGATCTTAGGAAAAGAAAAAGTGTGTTTCTACTTGAGTTGTCCATTTCACTAATGGAACATAATTACTGCATCGGGAGAGGATCTTGGGAAACTTAAAAACCTTTGAGCTGCTTGGAAGCATTCCTTCTGTGGTATACAGCCTACCTTGATAACGATCTTTTGCAGCACCAGTGCATTCTTCAGCAAAAATTGCACAAATGAGAAGTCGAAGTCACTGTAATACCATCTTAAACCAGCAAACTTAAGCGTTTTCAGATGCATCATCAAAAGCTCAAAATCCATCTTTTGTGATATGCAGTAGAGCTCCGCACTAAAATCGTTGGTGAGACTGTCCCGAATATACTGCAGATGAAGAATCATTAAGATGAAATCTATGCATCATTTTTATTTTTTTTTTGAACTGAAATCTATGCATAAGTTTAACACCACAATTTTAGCAAAGAATGACTTCTTACGGTCAGTGAAACGATTCAAATTCTAAATCAGATGTCATTTAGAGAATATTTTGAAACCGTAAACAAGATGGGCAAATAAAATTTAGGGCAAATTTCATTTCTCTCTCCCTTATGGTTTGCCCATGTGTGGATAACCTACCTATCATTTGCAAAATAAAACACATAACTCACATGTGGTTTGTAGACTAAAACACATTGTCACATTTTCCACCCAAAGTAACTGCAATTCACATGCTATTGTTGAGACTGTGTGTAAATAAAACAATTTTTTAAGACAAAACATGCCCTCACACATTTTTAAATTTACAAACATGCCATTTCTTTTCTTCTTCCTTTGCCCCCTACACAGACCCAAATCATCAACCCACCCAACCATGCTTCAAATCCAGAATGTGTTCTAATGGGATTGCATAGACTGGTAAGCTATATTATTAAGGACTTTGCATCTGATCATGTTAAAAAAGCTGTGATGCACCATTCAATCTAACTCCATATTGTTGTTAGCTGTGTAATTATGTTTCCTCTTAACAGCAAAAGCCATGGTTATGGAGTTTTCTTTTAATATTATACTCCAAGGATATACGATCCCTCACTAAAGACCGCTGCCCCAAACCTATCCCACCCTGCATACCCATTTCTGCAGCCTTGTACAAATATATATATATATATATATTCAGCAAACTCATAATTCACATTCATGATAAAAAATAAAAAAAAAGAGAAGAGAATCCATAATTCAACCCAACCCAACCCAATCCCGTAGCACCACATTCATCCAATACCTCCTTTGATGAATCACACAAGAGAATAATTATTTGATGAATCATAGGATTGTGAAGGTGAATGGCAGCCAGGATCAGATCAGATTCTTAATCAGATTGGATCGGATTTTTGCATATCCAGTCCATTTACTGATTGGATTAAACGAATTTGAATTACCGAATCAAATTTTTTTAAAAACGAATTTGGATTTTTGGAATGAATTCAGATCAAATTCAGATAAAATCCGATCCATTAACAGGCTTACATGGGGGTTATGTGGTTATTTCAAATGATAAGGAAGCAATCCACACAAACCCCAAACCATAACGGGATAAAGTGAGATATTATTCACTCAAAATTTATTTGCTTACAAACAAATGGGGAAAAATTTCAATAGAATCATTTACAATCTAGAGGAATGACTCATCAATACTAAGCATTACAATTGATTGGCATTGCCAAATAAAATACATAAAGATAGATTCAAAACCAATTTTTGATGGAGTCTTTACATTATCTTAAAGAAAATAATTAAGGAAATTATTATAAAAAACATACCACAAACTGGCCGGAAGGGGACATGGTTATGACTAATGTCTCTAGATGAGAACAACTTTCCAAGATGTTTGCTATTCCAAGGAGAATTGACTCCTCAATACGCGTATCTATAGTTAAACATTCACACTTTGAGAGTGGAGAACGCAAGTCTTTCATTTCCATTGCTGATAGTACCTTTCCCCATCAGAAGCAAGATGTGAAACAAAACAAAAATATGAAAAGCAAGACAACCAATTAGAAGATTATTTGACATACCTACAATAAGATATTTTGTGTATTAAAAAAGCAAACTAACTATGTGCAAATTCCTTAATCACTTTTTCATTTTCAAACCATGTCACTCCTTACAATGGAAGCGAAGTAACCACAATGGATCCGATTAATTAAAACACAAAACTGAAGTAACCACAAAGGATTGGATTACTTATAAACACAATACTGTTAATTGTACTTGAGAAGAATGACTTTTACTAATAAGGCATCGTCTGGGAACATGCTAATTTAATAATTTTTTGGCTATTTGGTTAAAATATGAGCTAAAAAAAATTAGTATATTTGGGATGACTTTTTGACTTTTTACAAAAATATGTGCAAAAAGTAGAGAGAAAAGAGAATCTTTAACTTTTTGGTATCGGTTGTTGACTTTTTGACTTTTTTAATAACTTTTTGACTTTTTGACTAAACGGGCTGGTTCCCAAACGAGGCCTAAATATCATTCAGCATAAAAAGAAGCACAAAAAATGGACAATGCCATAGTTAAGGGATTTTTTTTTTTTTTACTCGAACTCAATATTTGCCTCACCAATATTAGTTGGTTATATCATGGTATGAATTGCAATGTACTTAATCAATTAAATCTGGGTTTGAATCAACCACTTGGCAACATATATATATATATATATAATCATTTGCAATTGCAATAACAACGAGAAAATATCATTTCACCCCCCAAACTTTTACACCTTTTTTAATTTGACCCCCAAATTTCAATTAATATCAATTTTACACCCAAACTTTCGAAATTTTGATCAATTTGACCTCTATCGTCACATTCTGTCAACAATTGGACAGAATATACGAATGTGGTGGGGCAAATTGATTTTTAATTTGGGGGGCAAATTGATTTTTAATTTGGGGGGCAAATTGATATTTAAGGAATAGTTTAGGGGATAAAATGAAATTTCAAATAAATTTTGATTTCACATCAATACATTCTATCTAATTGTAGACGAAATTTGACGACAGGGGCCAAATTGATTAAAATTTCAAAAGTTTGGGTGTAAAATTGATATTAATCGAAGTATGGGGGTTAAATTGAAAACGCATGAAAGTTTGGGAGGCAAAATGCTATTTCCTCCGATAACAAGAGAGAGAAAAAAAAAATTATTCAATAGACTTTATCAATATGATTTAGCTATGGGTGCTAAGCATCCCATAGACCAATGGTTTATACTAATTCTCACTATACCCTTCTAACTTAAAAAACATGCATAAAAATTGAAGAATTGAATGGCAAAGTTAAGTAGGAGCAATTCTTCATTATTCAAGAATTTGAGTCTTAAAATACCTAACAAATGAATCTAGACACAGAAATGGTATAATTTCCAACAAAGAGCTACATAACAAACATTTAGAACCAATGTTATTGGCAAGCTTAAGCATACATTATTTAAAAAGGAAACGACACAATAATCAATTAAAATATGTAGAATTAATTGCCACAATGAAAGGATTGAAGAAAGACTAACGTCTAAAGCCCAAGAACCTAATGTGAGATTCTTCACATGAACGAGGCTCTCAAGAAGTCCTGTTAAACTATTTTGGTACCATTCATAGTCACGATGATGATCAACATAACTAGTGCAATAACAATAGAGGGTAGTATCAACCAAAGATGATATGTCTGCCAGACGATAATTCGTTCTCCCTAAAGAACCTGAAATCTTCAATGACTGAAGATTAGGTGCTGAAATTTCCAACTGAGAGTTATGTTCATTATCTATTCCAACTTCTTCTTGTTCCTTATACTCCCAAACTTTTCTCAAGATCAATTTTTTTAGACTTGGTTTAGTAACATGCAAACGAGTGATGCCATAAAAGGAATACAATTCTAAAATCTCCAATACAGGACTACCGGCTAATATCTTCTGAATCACAGCATCATTTAACTTGACATACCCAATTGACAATTTCTTCAGCAATTTCCAGTCAACAACTCGTTTAGGAACTAGAATGCAAAAAGAAAAAAGCAATTCTGTGAAGAATGAATTGGTAAAGAAAAGCTGTGGCAACACGAAACGATCTTCCTCGGGCAAACCTTCTGTGGCATTGTATAAATCCAGTTGAAGCTCCTCAGTAGCATTCCTTGTTGCGAATCGAATCCACAAATTGACATTGGAAACGAGACGCGAGTCGTATTCGAATTCAACCACGAATTTCTTGAGCTTAGAACAATTGGAAAGAACTAGGGTTCTGTCAACAAATGTTGCAAACTCAACAAGTCTGCTGTAGTAAATATCAGAGCCAATATCAGGGTAAGAGAAAAGGAGTGATGGAACGGAAGTCCAAAGGTATTGCCATCTTTTGGACAAGACATGGGTTTTGATGGCGTCTTCGATGGTGGGTAAGAAGGAGAGAATATGAATGAGTAGAGAGTCTGGCAACATGCTCATTCGATCGACGACTGTGGTTCTATTGCTGCAAGTCTTCGTGGTCGCTGGAGTCACTGTGCTCTTCATACATTTGGCTTCGCCTTGACATCATTTTCAAACTACAAAAGACGAAAAGCTCAACCGGCTTCTCAAATGTCACACAACATTCAATGAGTTTTTATTCACGGTTGGACTACCCTAACATAATAAATTCTCAATAATTATTTATTTATTTATTTATTAGATTTCAATCTTAATTTTATAAGAAAAAAATGCTATGGATTTCACAAAAATTATCAAATTTTTACCAAATCTTTTATATAGATGTGAGATTTACACAAATGTGTGTAGATCTCATATCCACGTGAGAGATTTGACAAAAAATTTAATAATTTATTTAGAATCCTAACCTAACTCATTTTTTATAAATTACTAATACAGATCATAATCTGTTCATCTCCACGAATTTGTCTAATCGAGGAGAGCTTTTAGAGTAGTACAGATTTTTATGTTTTTGGTGCTAAAAATTAAAGCAATTGTACACTTTAAATAATTAATAAAACAAATTAATATATATTGAGTTAAACTTCACTGACTTACTAAAAAGTTATAAATTAAAATTATTATCACATAATTGATCTATTACAAAATGATGGTGCTATATGCACCAATTAGTATGTTAACACTAGTTATGACATTATTATTGATTTCACTCATTAACCACATTATAAATATAAAAAACCTCTTAAATTATGTCACATCATCAATTGATACATTAATTAATATATTAATTAGTGCATATAACATTATTCATTACCAAAATAATAATGAATAAAAAATTGGATTGCGTATACAAACTTTTAAGATTGTTTCATTCATGGCATTATTCCACTAATTCATAACTACGTTTTTCTCGTGCCTTTTATTTTTTTAGAATAAATATTTTTTATTGTAAATATTTTTTTTAATGTGCGATGTAAATGTATTGCATTTTTTAAAAAATATTTTTTATTTTAAATATGTGATTTTTATTTTAAACTTCAGCAATTTCCAGTCAACAACTCGTTTAGGAACTAGAATGCAAAAAGAAAAAAGCAATTCTGTGAAGAATGAATTGGTAAAGAAAAGCTGTGGCAACACGAAACGATCTTCCTCGGGCAAACCTTCTGTGGCATTGTATAAATCGAGTTGAAGCTCCTCAGTAGCATTCCTTGTTGCGAATCGAATCCACAAATTGACATTGGAAAAGAGACGCGAGTCGTATTCGAATTCAACCACGAATTTCTTGAGCTTAGAACAATTGGAAAGAACTAGGGTTCTGTCAACAAATGTTGCAAACTCAACAAGTCTGCTGTAGTAAATATCAGAGCCAATATCAGGGTAAGAGAAAAGGAGTGATGGAACGGAAGTCCAAAGGTATTGCCATCTTTTGGACAAGACATGGGTTTTGATGGCGTCTTCGATGGTGGGTAAGAAGGAGAGAATATGAATGAGTAGAGAGTCTGGCAACATGCTCATTCGATCGACGACTGTGGTTCTATTGCTGCAAGTCTTCGTGGTCGCTGGAGTCACTGTGCTCTTCATACATTTGGCTTCGCCTTGACATCATTTTCAAACTACAAAAGACGAAAAGCTCAACCGGCTTCTCAAATGTCACACAACAGGGGTGTTTGGTGGGGTTTTTTTAGCCAACTTATGGTTTCTGGCTTTTAAAAAGTTATTTTGGACTGTTTGGTTAAACTTATTTCAAACAGCTTCTGATTCTAACAATTTATTTTAAGTCAAAAAAGTTGATTCTGAGAAGCTGCTCACCCCCTGCTTCTGATTATCAGTTTCTGCTGTGAACATGTTAATTCACGTTTTACTCTTAAATTTTTTTATTTTTTATTTTTTTAAAAATAGAAAAAGATCCAAATAGACTATAAAATATTATTATTAATTTTTATGAGAAATGTAGACAAATAGTGAATAATAAAAAATAAAAATTAATTAAAAAAGCTACTTCACAGCTTATTTAACAAACATTACTCAGTAACTTAAATCTATAATCCAACAGCTATATCAAACAGATTAACAACTTCTGATTAAAGTCATAATCTATAATCTGTTAAGGTATAATCTATAATCTGTTTTAGCAGCTACACCAAACAGCACCAATGAGTTTTTATTCACGGTTGGACTACCCTAACATAATAAATTCTCAATAATTATTTATTTATTTATTTATTAGATTTCAATCTTAATTTTATAAGAAAAAAATGCTATGGATTTTAAAAAAAATTATCAAATTTTTACCAAATCTTTTATATAGATGTGAGATTTACACAAATGTGTGTAAGATCTCATATCCATGTGAGAGATTTGACAAAAAATTTAATAATTTATTTAGAATCCTAGCCTAACTCATTTTTTATAAATTACTAATACAGATCATAATCTGTTCACCTCCACGAATTTGTCTAATCGAGGAGAGCTTTTAGAGTAGTACAGATTTTTATGTTTTTGGTGCTAAAAATTAAAGCAATTGTACACTTTAAATAATTAATAAAACAAATTAATATATATTGAGTTAAACCTCACTGACTTACTAAAAAGTTATAAATTAAAATTATTATCACATAATTGATCTATTACAAAATGATGGTGCTATATGCATACACTAGTTATGACATTATTATTGATTTTACTCATTAATCACATTATGAATATAAAAAATCTCTTAAAGTATATTAATTAATATATTAATTAGTGCATATAACATTATTCATTACTAAAATAATAATGAATAAAAAATTGGATTGCGTATACAAACTTTTAAGATTGTTTCATTCATGGCATTATTCCACTAATTCATAACTACGTTTTTTTCGTACCTTTTATTTTTTTAGAATAAATATTTTTTATTGTAAATATTTTTTTAATGTGCGATGTAAATGTATTGCATTTTTTAAAAAATATTTTAAAAATATTTTTTATTTTAAATATGTAATTTTTATTTTAAATTTTAATATTTTAAGTATATTTTTAAAAAATATATACTTTTTTTTTCAATATTTAATTTTTAAATTTTTAAATTTTTTGGATTGCACATATATATCTAAATTATAACAAATTATTTGGTCAATACTTAAAAAAATAACAAAATACTTTTTTTGAAAAAAAAAATTCTTCAAAAATAAAAAAAAAATATTTTTGAAAAAAACATTTTTAGAAAAAATTATAAAATTATAAATAATTTCAAAGAACAAAACAAAAAAAATATTTTTTTTGATTTTTTTTTAATAGAATTTTAAAAAGAGTTTTTGAATTGTGTATTTGATTATGAGTTTTGAAAAAAAAAATTGAAATTTTTTGACTCAAATCATGATTTTAAAATAGAACGAAACGCTACCTTAACTTTTTTTTTTTGTGATAAAAGAGTGTGTACAGTTTTGCAGTGAGTAAAAGAATAAAAGACTGAAAGAAAAAATAAATAAAAGACTAATTAGAGTGAAAACAGAAAGAAATATATATTTATCAACTAAATAAAGAAAAAGAGAGAAATAGAAATAAATAATTACTTTTAAAAATAATAAAAAAAAGTACTATTGAAAGGGTGCTGTGAATTTAAATATAGTATACAAATAAAAGTATAAAAAAAATTGGAAGGCCCAATATAATTAAACTATCTAAATTCTGCTTCTGTTTATGACATTTTCGTTAGTTCTATCAAACTTGATATGAATCCCAACTAAGTGAACGGAACTCCTGCATTGGGACTTGGGAGAGGATCTTGGAAAACTTAAAAACTTTTGAGCTGCTTGGAAAAGATCCATCCGCACCATATCGTCTGCCATTTGCATGTTGATAACCATCTTTTGCAACACCCTCGCATTGTTCAATAGAAATTGAACAAAAGATAACTCCAAGCCACTGTAATTCAAACCTAAACTAGTAAACCTATTTTGAGATGCAACATCAAACACTGAAAGTCTTCTTTTGTAATGTCCAATAGTTCTCCCCGTCAAAATGGAAAAGGTGGGCGAGATTGTCCCAAAAAACCTGCAGATGAAGAATCCATTAAGCCCTATGCATAAATTTAATGATGTCCAAGCAATTGTAGCAATGAACAACTTCTTATCTTATGACAGGCAAGTAAAATTTATCTACTTATCCATTTTATTTTTTTTTTCATTTTAGAAAAGGAGTAATTCCAAAATAATCACTTCCATGACTCATTGATCAATTTCTACGAACAACCACCCTACACAAAGCACTAGAATTGATATGCATTATTAGATAAAATGCATACAGAGAGATTCAAATAAAATTCTTTCCATATCTCAAAGAAGATAATTAAGTTAAAGAATATTGAAAAACATGCCACCTCGTTGTTCGAAGGAGATGTGATTATCACTAATGTCACTAGAAGAGAACAACTTTCCCAGAGGCTTGCTATTCCAGAGAGGACTGATCCCCGAATTGCCGTATCTAGTGTTAAACATTCACACTTTGCCAGTGAAGAACGCAAAACATTTGCTTTCATGACTGACGGTAGCTTTGCCCATCAGAAGCAAGATGCAAAACAAATTAAAAAAACAAAAAAAAAAGATGCAACCAATTAGAAGATTCTAGAAGCAAGATGCAAAACAAATTGAGAAGAAACAAAAAAAGATGCAACCAATTAGAAGATTCCAGTAGATTGTTTGACGGACCCTAAACTAAAAAAATAGTGTATTGAAAAGGGAAAAACTATGCGGAATTTCGTCGTCAGTGTATAATTTTCGAACGATGTATCACTTTTTACATTGGAGCAAACAAAGGATAAAATCATTAACAAGGTTAATTGTAATTGAGAAGCATGGACTTTTACTAGTAAATACCATTTAGCACAAAACATGGACAAAGCCATAGCTCAGTTCTTTTTCTTTAACTCAGATGAGTCAATCTCAATATCTGGCCCACCAATATTAGTCGGTTATATATTGTGAATCAACATTTTCAACGGTGGGAACACTAGGGAAAAAAAGGACATATTTTCAATAATTTGTAGGCCAACGGTTCATACTAATTATTACCACACCCTTCTAATTTAACAAGTATGCACAAAATTGATGAATTGAATGGCAAAGTCACAAATAGAAACAATTCTTTATATTCGAGAATTTAAGTCATAAAAAAACCAACAAATGATTCTAGAGACAGAAATGGCGTAATTATCTAGCAAGAGTTATGAAATGTCTAGATTTAGCCCAATTGAATATTTTCACACACTCTTACCGGTAAGATAATTCAACTATCTGGTTCATATGAAGATCAGATATTCCCTAATTTTGTGGGTCCAGCTTGTCTCCAATTGGAAATAACCATCCAATTCGGTTAGCAGGCTCACTTTTGGTCCCACCTCAATGATCAAAACCATTCAGACGAGCACATTATCCGTGTAAAAAATTAAGTCGATTGGATAATAACAACCACATGTTCATATTAGTTTTGTATCAACCGTTTATTTTCTCACTATCAATTCTTTTATTAAAAAAAATCGATTTGTTTGGCATTATGCAAGAGAAAGATTCAATACAGGAGTATTTTTTGGAGGAAGACTTTCGGCAGCCTCAACTCTCTTTATATAATAGCAAATAAACATATGTAAACATATAATAAACCTATTATCTATTATGTCGAAAGCTTTCGTAATCCAGATACTCAGACATCACTTTTCAAATAATTAGTACCAAATTGGAATAGAAGTTGAAGGTCCAAGCAAAATCATAGAATTATTTTTTTATTTTTTTTATTTTTTACATCCACAAGTACATTCTTCAGCTGTATTTCTTAGCATTTCGTCGAGGCATTCAAATTTTAATTTACCAAATTTGAGTGTGTTATAAACTAACTCCCCATCACTTCTAGAAAAGTTTCCCCTAACAATGCACAAAACAATTAGGATCACCATCAACTGGACACTGTTTGAAAACTTCCCAGGGAACAAAACAAGTCCAGGTTCAAAAAACTAATGTTGTGTTTGGTTGGGGGATTTGGGGAGGGATTTGAAAAGGGAAAGGGAAAAGGTGTGTGAAACTATATGAAATATAGGCATGATTTATTCACATTTCACCTACCTTTTCCATTTCTCTTTCCAAATCCCTTCTCAAATCTCCCAACCAAACACAACATAAGTGAATTTAAATAATCTTCATGCATAGCACAATTTATAAAGTGCAACCCCTACATAACAGAGTTTCTAAAGTTCTGCCATTAGATATAAACAAAATAATATCCAATGAAGTATAGCCTGCTTCAAAAGTCAAACAGAACAAAATCATAATCAAAGGAAAAAACAGTAGTGTTTTCGCTGAGAAAGCGAATTACTTGAGTTTTCCATTTCACTAATCGAACATCACTACTGCATCAGGAGAGGATCTTGGAAAACTTAAAAGCTTTCAAGCTTCTTGGAAAAGTTCCATCGGCACTGTATTGTCTTCCCTTAGGCCACGTCTGATTGCTGGATTATGGATAAACATCTTTTGCAGCACCGTCGCATTCTTCAATAGAAATTGCAGAAAAGATAAGTCCACGCGACAGTATCTCTGACTTGAACGAGTAAACTTAACTATTTTGAGAGCAACATCAAACACTTAAATGTCCTCTTTTGTCATGTCCAGCAGTTCTCCCCGTCAACATCAAATGCGTGGGTGAGGGTGAGATTGTTCCAAAAACGCTGCAGATGAAGAATTCAATAAACTGAAATCTATGCATAAATTCAAGGGTGTCAACATAATTTTAGCAATGATCAATTTCTTATACTAATTGAAATGATTCAAAATTCCACTTCACAGGTAACATGATGGGAAAGTACAATTTATTTACTTATAACAAAAAAAAGAAGTATTTTCAAAATAATCACATCCAATCTAGACAAATAACTCATCAATCACTTCCTACAATCAACCACCCAAACAAATTCTAGTTATCACTAAGGAATAGAATTGATTGGCACTATTAGATAAAATACATAAAGAAAGATTCAAAGCCAGTCTTTATTAAAGTTGTTTTTCTTATCTCAAAGAAATTAATTAAGGAAATGATATGAAAAAGCATACCTCCTTCTGGGAAGGGCACGAAGAGAACTTTGAGATTATCACTAACGTCTCTAGATGAGAGGAACTTTCCAAGAGGCTTGCTATTCCAGGGAGGACATATTTCGCAATGCATGTACGTAGTGTTAAACATTCACACTTTGACAGTGGAGAACGTAAACCTTTCATTTCCATTATTGACAGTACCTTTTTCCATCAGAAGCAAAATGCAAAACAAATTATAAAAAAACAAAAGATGAAACCAATTAGAAGATTCTAGCAGATTGTTTCACAAACCTTACCATAAAAATATTGCGTTTTAAAAAATGAACAAACTATGTGGAATTTCTTCAGCTGAGTTTAATTTTCAAATCATGTATCACAAACAATCACTCCTTGCATTGGAGCAAAAGTAACCACAAAGGATAGGATCAGATTAGTTGAAACCTAATAATAAAATTGATTTGTAATCGACAAGAATGGACTTTAATAATATGTATAATTTAGCACAAAAAACAAGCGCAAAACATGGGCAAAATATGAAAACATTTGCAACTGCAGGAACACTAGGGAACGAAAGAAAAGAAAACATTTTTTTCAATAATTTGTAGACGCTGGCAATATGACTTTGCTATGGGCGCTACCCATGCCATAGACTAACAGTTCGTACTAATTATTACTATACCCTTCTAATTTAAGAAACATGCACAGATTTTTTTTATGAATTGAATGGCAAAGTCGCAAACAGAAACAATCCTTCACTATTCGAGGATTTATTTCTTGAAATATATAACAAATGATTCTAGACACAGAAAATGGGTGAATTTTCAATGATGAGTAACAATAATCAGGTAAAATATGTAAGCTTTCAACTGATCAAAAAAAGGATTGAAGAAAGACCAACCTTTAAAGCCCAAGAACCTAATGTGAGATTCTTGACATGAACAAGGCTCTCAAGAAGTCCCCTTAAAACATTTTGGTGCCATTCATAATCATCATGAACATAGCTTGTTAAGTAGCAATTGAGGTTAGTGTTAACCAAAGCCGATACGTCTGCCAGCTGACAATTCATGCTCCCTAAAAACCCAAAATCTCCAATGACAGAAGATTAGGAGTTAAAATTTCCAAATCAAAGTCCCAAAATTCATTAAATATTCCACCGTCACCTTCATAGATGTCCATCAAATCTCAAAATTCTCTCAAGATCAAAATTTTCAGACTTGCTTTGCTAATATGCAAATGAGTGAAGCCATAAAAGTAATACAATTCTAAATTCTCCAATACAGGACTACCCTCTAATATCTTGTCAATCACACCATCATTCAACTTGACATACCCAATTGGCAATGTCTTCAGCAATTTCCAGCAAACAACTCCTTTAGGCATCAAATTGCAAATGGAAAAACGCAATTCTCTGAACGATGAATTGGTAAACAATTCCTGTGGCAACACGAAGAGTTCATCCTCAGACAAGTCATCCTCAGGAATGCGGAGTTTGAGTTGGAGCTCCTTGGCGGCGTTCCTTGTTGTGAATAGAGTCCATGAGTTGATATTGGAAGTGAATTCCGACACGTAATTGAAATCAAGCAAGGATTTTTTAAGCATAGAAGAGTTGCAGAGAAGTAGGGTTTTGTCAACAAATCTGATAAAGTCATAATTTCTTTCATAACTAGTATCACATGATTCGTAAAAGCGGTAACGGAAAACAAGTGATGGAAGGGTAGTCCAAAGGTATTGCCATCTTTTGGACAAAACATGGGTTTTGATAGAGTTTTCAATGGTGGGTAAGAAGGAGAGAATATGAATGAAGAGAGAGTCAGGCAACATACTGATTCGATCTGTTAATGTAAAATGTAAATTACCACCCACCTACCACCTCCACTATAACCCACTCCACCTACCACCTCCACTTCACCTCCTACCACTTCACCTACTACCTTCTTCTCTTCTATATATTTGATCATTGTAAACATAACAGATCAATCATCAATACATATTCTCTCTATTTTCTCTATATATTAATTCTTACATGGTATCAGAGCAGGTTTAGAGCCTAATATTTTCGCTTCCCCGGCGGGCGGCAACCTCACCTTAGCTGCCCGCCGGCCCTCAACCTAGTCTGCTAAAATTTTCTATACTTACCTTGAAATTTCCTTTCTTCAGTGCACAAAACACAGGCAGCACACATAGACACATACAATTCTCTCTAAAATCAGGAATGATCGCAGGAACCCAGCAAGAAACGAAGCTCCGTCTCTGATCAGACGTAGAAACGAAGCTCCGTCTCTGATCAGACGTCACAGAATAAATCAATCATGGGTCCCTACGATGCATCCATGAGCAGCAGTGGAAGCAACTTATCATCATCATCCGCCGGCGAAGCACCGGATCAGATTGACGGACTGCTTGCCTGAGCCGGGTACAGGGTCCGGTCATCGGAGCTCCGACACGTGGCCCAGCGGCTCGAACGCCTCGAGAATGTCATGGTCAACGCACCAGCAGAGTTCTCACAGCTCGCAAACGATGCCGTTTGCGTCTGCATCGCCACCTCCGGCCCCGACGCCACCCACAAGTCAGCGGCCTCGCCGACGCCTTGCTCGACAGCGTCCCCGTTGTGGCCATCACTGGTCCAGTCTCTCCCTCTCGGCATACACACACATCTTTGTTCTTCGAGTCTCTCTCTCCATGTTGATGGAAGCTCTCCAAATCCGGCGACATCTCTCTCTCTGTGTGTTCAATTCCGGTGAGTTGGCTTCTTTACACTCTCGGAGCCCTCACGCTAGGGGCCATGAAAAATGGTCAAAGCTGCATGTTCTCTCTCTCTCGGCAGATTTGAGAGTAACACAACAAAACACCACCAAACTCTCTCTCTCTCTTCTTTTTCTTCTGCAGCCACCTTCTTTTATTTTAATATATGCTTATTATACTATATTAACTACAGCACCCACGTCCACTTCTGCACTTCACCCAGAGACTCCACCCACCAAAGCCATCATGATGTTCTCTCTCTCTCGACAGATTTGAGAGTAACACAACAAAACACCACCAAACTCTCTCTCTCTCTTCTTTTTCTTCTGTAGCCACCTTCTTTTATTTTAATATATGCTTATTATACTATCTTAACTACAGCACCCACGTCCACTTCTGCACTTCACCCACAGACTCCACCCACCAAAGCCATCATGATGTTTCTTATCTCCTTCCACTTTATTTCTTTATTTATTTTATTTATTTTTTATTTTTATTTTATTATTATTATCTCCTTTTGCTCACACCGACGGGATTTGCCTCTTCCCCATTAATACATTTTTATTATTATTCTTCTTTCCAAAACAAAAAAAAAAAAAAAAAAAAAAAAAAAAAAAAAAAAAAAAAAAAAAAAAAAAAAAAAAAAAAAAAAACAAACAAACACAAAACAACAGCTTTGTTTTCTTTTCTGCAGACGACCACACACCGACATCTCCTTTTGTCTTAGATGCTTATAATGGATACATGGCAAACATAGGGTCACTGAAGTGACTAATCATAGAGCTAATGATTATTTTTGTCCCTCAAGACATGTGACATCCGTGGTGGTACTTACAAAATAATTGCTCAAAATATCAATTATCAAATTGTCCTCCAAAAACATATTTAATAAACAATTATATATGTGAGTTTTCATTTTCAAATAAATAAGGTTCATTAAACAAATAACATATTTGAAATGTTAATATAATTTATAAGACATGATTTACATAAAACAGTTTATGATTACCTAAAATATAATACAACTCATCTTAATAATACCTTTTAATTTTTACTTCTCCTGAAATTTAGAAATATTAACCGAACTTATTTTATCTTATAGTTTATAATATAACTTAAGGCCTCGTTTGCCATAGTGGTGTTTGGTTGAGGTTCACTGGCCACCGCACCAGTTTTCTCTCTTGTTGACTCGTTGAGGTCGGGAAAGAGAGTGAGCAGCCCACGGGAAGACGAGGCCATTTTCTGGGCAACAGAGTGTTACAGAATATCTCTCACAACAGAGTGTTACAGACTATCTCTCTCAGCAAAACGACCTCTCTTTCTCAGCAAAACGAAGACTTTTCAGAGGTTTCTCTCAGTTTTTCTGTCTCAGTTTCTGCCTCCTCCGCTTCGGTTTATAAAGACCATGACACAGAGGCAGCCACGCGCATCGCGCGCCTTTTGACGTCGACAACCTGGCACGCCTTTTCATGGCATGCCTTTTGATGCCTCGGGCACGCCTTTTGATGACACGCCTTTTGAGGGTGCGGGCACACCTTTTGAGGGCACGACTTTTGAGGGCTCGCTATATATCTCCATGTCTATTTTTTGGGCAGCCTATATACACACTCATACAGTGTCTTCTACACCGGTCAGCTTTATCAATCCCTTTGTTTCAACCTCAAATAGGTTTCTATCTTCACACCTATTTGAGTTTGAGGGGGGGTTATACACAGTATCATGTATAAGTCGCTCATGGCGCACTGTGCACCACCACAAGCTTCTACATCGGTCCGACATGACCCCGTAAACTGTCTGCTACAACGGTCCGACATGACCCTGTAAACTGTCCTGCTACATTGGTCCGACATGACCCCGTAAACTGTCTTCTACAACGGTCCGACATGACCCCGTAAACTGTCTGCTACAACGGTCCGACACGACCATACCGTGTCTTCTACAACGGTCTGACACGACCATACAGTGTCTCCTATCCCATTTTTATTTTATTTATCAGTTTATTTTTCTGTTTTGTTACTCTCTTCAAACTCAAGTTGGTTAGTTCCTATCCTCCTTGAGTTTGAGGGGGGCTGTTAATGTAAAATGTAAATTACCACCCACCTACCACCTCCACTATAACCCACTCCACCTACCACCTCCACTTCACCTCCTACCACTTCACCTACTACCTTCTTCTCTTCTATATATTTGATCATTGTAAACATAACAGATCAATCATCAATACATATTCTCTCTATTTTCTCTATATATTAATTCTTACACGATCGACGATGGTGATTTTCCTTCTGCAACATCCTGAGTCTGTAATGGGTGATGCTGAAGCTAATGCTGATGCTGATGCGTCGTCATTTCTTCGCTGGGAAGAACAAGTGTGGCTTTGTCTTGACATGATTTTTAACTCTGCTTTGCATTTCTACTGCTCAAACTACAAAGGAGGGTTTGGACCAAACGGTACGTCGGAAAATGTTTTCAGGAAAATCAATTTAATCCAACTAAATAATAAAATAAAATACAAGAAATTCTTTGCAGAAATTTTAAAAATTTAGGTCAAATTTGACAAGTTAAAAAAAAGTCAAAAAGTTAAAAAATTACTCAAAAAGTTAAAAAGTTATCACTATTCACTAAAAGTCAAAAATTACAGCTGCACAACTCCCAATCATAATTTTTCCTTACACACTAATTTATACAATTTTTAATACACATTTTTTTTTATTTTATAAAAAGTCAAAAAGTTAACCCAAATATTCATATTTTTTTGCTCAAATTTTTAGTCCAAAATGACAAAAAATACACTTATTTAGGACACCCAAAACAATCCCTTAGTATATATTGTCACCGAAATCAGCGTTTGAATATTATATCTTTAAGATAAAATTTCGCCCCCTGATATTTGCGATTAATGAATATCCTACCTCCAGGATATAATGATCGCCCCACATAGAAATTGCACAATTTTTTGTGTGTATAGCGTTTGCACAATTGTCTGTGTATATAGCGAATCAATTTGTATCATACACTCTCTCTTATATACTCGACCAGATATAATGTATGAATCCTAAAACAAATCTCAACTTATCCATGAATACCATGAGATGTGTGGTTTTTGTAGAAGTACTCGTGACCTTTAGAATACTCATGTCTCTTGGGTTCACATCCTTTCATATGAATAGACATAGTTGCACATTTTTATTCAAATGGAGTTCAATTTCATTCACTTTTAAATTTTCCAACAATTCTCCACATGAGTGAAATTGACGATATAATGCAAATGAAATGTGGATGCTGATAAAGAGAGTACAAAATGGAAATATCTTGCATCACGATAGGTAGTTTTTGGCCTTGAATCTTTCTTAGTAAAAGACTATTGACTTACTAACTAATCAGTGGATGTGATGTCTTGAACTGCTCAACCATTTAAGCCAAAACAATAGAATTCACACAAAATATCTCTAAGCATAGTTTGGTTCTTTCGGTTGTGCCCATTTTGGCCTTAGCCAGTTCTTGGTTTTCATGAGTGCTTTAGAGAATTCAGCCTTATTAATTCTCATAGAAATGGGCCATTCATACTCATATAGATGATTCTTATTTCGAATCTCTTAAATACTCCTCTTGAAAGATACCCTTATAAGTTTTTCAAGATATAAGTAATCAAGTATAGCTTACCTTAAGTTCCTTACATACAACACATGTTACAGATATCACTTTCATCATAGGAATGGATAGGAGATAGACTCCCTTAGTGATTTTTTGGTGAGTCATTTATAATTCTGTTGTCCCTTTGAACCTGGATCTTGGGATTTCTAGTTAGCTAGGTTGAGTTGCCATTATGGTGACTCGAAATTTATAGGCTTAATCACATTCCACTCGATGAACTTTTCCTCATTGGCTCTCTAGTCAAACATTTTGTTTAGAAGATACTATTTTCCGTTTAACCTTTTTCATAGGGGTGTTTTGGAAAGTTAGTAAAAAGCTGGCTTTTAGCTTTTTGCCAAGCTTTTTGACTTTTTTGGAAGTGATTTGGGAAGTTGGTAAAAAGTTAGCTTTTTTGTTTTTTGATTTAATATTTTTTAAAAATGTCACATCAC